AAGACTACGGCCGCCCATGAATAACTGCAACACCAAGGGCATTGCAGATGCGTTGCTGGCCTTTTAAAGAGGAGTAGGCTCTTTTCTTGAAGATCCCTAAGCCGTATCGGTCCGGAAAAATCGCTGGTAGTAATCGATTCCACAAGGAAGTTGTACGAGGAAGAAAACTTCTTCTAAATCGCACAGTGGTGGACCGCCATTCATCCAAATGGTATTGATGGTATCGCGAGTTTTGTCGCGATGTGCGATGGTGAAATTGAGCGGCTGGAATTAGTCCGAACAATTCCTCAGAGCACTCCCTGTGATAGATGCGATAAAATACGCAAAGAGATGCAACATCTCTACGCAGTGCCAGTGTATCGAGCCAATCGGAAAGAACTCGGTCGTCGACGATTCGAACCGCTCTGCGCTGCATGCGGTCAAGTAGAAGGAACTGGCACTGGGGAGCCCCCGCCCAGAGATGGGAACAGTATTCGATGTGAGGCCGAACCTGTGCCTTGTAAAGTTGCAAGCGGTGTGCCGGCATGAAATACTGTCCCGCTCTGCTGAGCACGCCAAGCTTTTTAGAGGCCAATTTGGCCTTTTCTTCCAAGTGACCACGAAACTACACGTCACTCGATATGTCGACACCGAGAATTCCGATAATGGCTGAGGCAACAAGGGTATTGCCTTGAAACTGAGGAGATACGACAAAGCGGTTCTTTTTAGCGGTAAACGCGCAAAGTTGTGTCGTCTGGGGATTGAACTGAACTAGATTTAGTCGCCCCCAGTCTGAGATTATGTTCAAAAAGTCTCGACTTCAGACACAAGTTTGTTCCGGTACTCGGCGAAGTTTTCCTGAGAAATATTGGCACGGCCGGTGTATAAAGCATCACCAGTACTGTTGTCTGCATAGCAATGAATGTTACTGGTTTGCAAAATATCATTGATATGCAGGAGAAACAGCGTTGGTGATAGGAGGCAGCCTTGTGGAACATCAGCGTTAATGGGCTTGTAATCGGAGCATGCATCGTCTCTTACGACCTTAATGCTCCGATCTGCAAGAAAACTGGTGATCCAATTGCACAATTTCTCGGGAAGCCCATAGGAAGGCAGCTTCGAAAGGAGCGCTTTGCGCCAAACCCGATCGAAAGCCTTTGCTATGTCCAAACTAACGGCCAACGCCTACCACTCGGACTCCACTGCCTCCGCCCATCTACGAGTTAGGTAACCTAGAAGATCACCAGCTGAGTGAACTCGACGGAAACCGTACTGGCGATCACTAATCAGTTGGTGATACTCAAGATACCGCGTGAGCTGGCTGTAATAATGGTTTCCATTACTTTGAAGGACAAGGAGGTGATAGTGATAGACCTATAGTTGGACGGATCTGAGCGGCGGCCTTTTTTAGGGATCGGGTGCATCAAAGCTGTCTTCTATGAGTTTGGGACTACGCCTAGGGAGAAGGAGTACTGGAAAAGACTCGTTAAAACCGGTGGCAACACCGAAGCACACGTCTTCAGTGCAATAGGTGGGACTCTATCAGGCCCACTCGACTTTTTGACGTCCAGGGAGAGCAGTGCTTTACGCACCGAGCGCTGTGTAAACAGCACTTCCTGCATGGCGCACTCACACCGCGGGACGATCGGCGGTGTGTTCCCTGCGTCATCTAGAGTCGAGTTGGAAGCAAAAAGAGAGCCTAGCAGATCGGCTTTCTCCTTTGCATCATAGGCCAGTGAGTCGTCCACCCTGTGCAGAGATAGCAGAGATGACTGACAGAAGGTCCCTAGGACAGCCTTGGCTAAAAATCAGAATGCACGTGTTCCCGAAGGGAGGCGAACTAGTTTCTCGCCAATTCTGTCAATGTGCTTTGACTTCGCCCTGGCAATTACACTCTTGAAGGACCTGGAGGCGGAGTTATACTTCTTTTTAAGAGCGCTGGTGTTTAAATCCCATGAAGTTGATACGATATCCCAGGCTCGGTAGCACTCCTGCTTATAGCGAGATGCAATTTTATAGGAGTGACCAAACCCTGGCTGAGTTCTACCTCCGATAGGCACCATAGATGATGGAATAATTCATTCCATTCTCTGCAGTACCACTTCAACGACAGAATCAAAAGATGCAAATAAGATTTGATGGTTGCCGATTTATGGTGGTATGATCATTTTTTGACACATGTAAGGCGCTGCGGCGACTGCTGCTGTCGCTGTTGACGTAGTAGACCAGCGACGGGGAGCAGAGTCAAAGGTAAGAACACAAATCTTTCCCACAACGGGAAAGGTCCATGTCCAGTAGTGACGTTTACGGTCTAGTGAAAAAGAATAGCATACAACCTGTGATTTTTGAATGAAAATAAAAAGTGGGCTCTGCGTTTTTCATAAATCGTATTATTGTAAATCAGTTGAAGTTAAAATTGAAAGAATTTACGTTGACTTATGGTAATGTTTAATTTCGTAATACTGATTTCCCGCTATATTGAGTTTTCTGCTTTAGCAGTTGCTTAGCGGAAGTTTAGTAGTTTGATCCTGTGTTTAATGTATATTTTATTTAACTTAAGAACATACAACCAAATTGACTCGGAATTCGCTTATCCTTTGTTATTCATTCATTCAATAAAGCCCATCAAACGCAGTTTTTTATTATTATTACCATTGAACTCTTATCAGGAAGACGCTGCTGACTATCTCCTATTTTAGTTTCCCTATATTGCCTCTTATCATACCCATGAGATAATGTAGCGTAATGAATTCTCATACACCGCCACTACACGGCAACAACACGGTGCAACACTTTTGTTATAAAACAATATTATTATTTCAAATAAAAGTCTTGTACGAAATTCTTGTAAAAGTGATAAAAACACGTTTTCAATTTGCACAAGCACGGATAAATGCAATCATGATCCCTCTAATTATACTGACTATTTTAGCCAACTACTTTTGAGGTAGCGGAGCGTTTGGCATTCATTGTAAATGGACACCACTGGGGATACTGTTGTACGTTGCACGCTGAGCACTAAATTTCTGCACTTACCCTTGGAACCTAAACAAAATTTTCAATTCACTGCTTGGCAGCAGAAATAGGTTAAGGGGTACTGACTTGTAAGCAGTAGAGCAGAATAAAACAATAAAAAAATTAAATACGAAAGAATGGTTTACCAGCCGACGAATTGATGGGAATGACATATCTTTCATATAAGCGTTCATGATTTTTGAAAGTCTATCTGGTTTGGTCCCCTCTCTCTTATATCTGCCATCAAACAGCCCATGTTGTGATTTATTCTAAAGTCTGAGCCATTATAATTTTTAAAAAAAATAGACATTCCGTCTTAGTCTGGAGGAATGACAGCGCGCCCGCCTTCTTTGTTTAGAGCCGTTTGCAGGTACATATGATCTATAACCCATGAGCTATAATAGTAAATTACCAACAGTCAGATTTTCAGCACATTTGTCACTCCTTTTTGTTAAAAAAATTATTTAAAATCTATTAATAATGTCATTTCAAGTTGCAAGTAACATAATAATTATTACATAAATATTAATGAACTTTAGAAATTGACTTTGTATATGTGTTGTTTTACATAATTATTATGTATGTACATATCGAGATATTATGTTAGCTTAATTATCGTGGTAGTTGTTTTTATTATTGCAATGAAAAGTTTGAAAGTGAAAACTTCTTTAGGCACGTTGGGCTCTTTCGGCATGGGGAAAAAGCCCTGAACACGCGTGACCGTCACGCTCAGATACATAATGTGTACAGATGTGTGTTTGTTTTTTATTTTAGTTACCATAAGCCTATAGTTTCAGGTATTGTTTTCAATTTTTGAATATGATGAGAAAATGATAATGATAATAATGGTAGAATTGTAGACACAATGGATGAAAATAGATGACAGTAATGTTGAAGATCGAAATGATTAAATTTTATATAATTGATATGTATTCATAAATTTGTTTGTATTATATAGATAATAATAATTTTTTTTAATGTAAAACAGCACAATAAATGAAAATGTAATTACTATATTAATACGTTGATAAAAATAATTTCTAAAAAAATACTTGCTAAAAATATGTCTTAACAACACAAAAATAATGTTTACAAGTTTGTGGAGCTAAGAAGTTTTCACTTCCTACGTGTAGTCCTACGACTGACAGTTTTTATTTTATTTTATTCTGTGCTATATTAACTATCCCTGTACAAAATTTGTAAGAAGATAAGTATTGCTAAATATGCCACGTACTAATGAATATCTATAAAATAATCAAATATAATTTACTTAAACAGTAATCTTTATAGAAAAATACTTACACAGTAACAAGAAGTAGCTTTGTTTTTGTGACTAGGCTTAAAACATTTTCGGTTAACTTTTCAGTAAAATATTTTTAAAACAAATTACTTAAACAAAAACTAGGCTACGTTAAAGTCTACTCTTCTCCTCATCTATAAGATTATGTTTATACCATGTTATATATTTATATTTACGAGATTGTTTAAATAATAATAATTGTATACTTACAGCTAACCATAGCTTTCGTCATCGTCGTTATATTTAATCTGTATTAATAATTTCGTATACTACGATATGCAATAAATAATTAAGGTATAAAATTACTTATGTTTTATACATCTGCACTGTCTTCTGTTAGTAGAGCTCATTTAATAATATGTATTTTACTATAGCAATTTTTATCTTTATACATTCATATGAAACAGTCAATGAATTCAAAGTAATATTAACCCATATATTGCGCATTCCAAAACATGTATTTTAAGTCATTATTTTAAAAGCCATTCTTGATATGTCGTTTTAAGTACGTTATGAGTAACAGTGTTTATGTGAAATAATGCTTTTGTAATATCGTCTGTTACGTAATATAACATGATACATAATTTGATCGATTTTAATTTTAATCATCCAAGTTATATTTATCAAACGTACATTGTATCGTTTTTTGACTAAAGTCATAATTCATTAGGTTTTTGTTTAACTAATAAAATAAAATTACTGAAAAAAAAAACATTTAAATGTTTTAATAAATTTTAGAGCGTTGCTTAAACTTTTATACATTTCATTAAAATTTTATAAACTAATTTATATATAATTTTAAGAAAACTAAATATTGAAACTAGATCCACATCAAGAAGGCAATTTAGTTTTAAGTAATTTTACAGGTACATTTTTGAATCGAATAAAATTTTTCGGGACTCGCCTCTTATAAATTATTACGCGTGAAACTATTTACAAAATAATATTGACGACCAATCGCCAACGAATAAACTAGTTTTTGATATAAGCAGGTTTAACAAAAAAAAAAAAACATTCACATCATATATTCAGTACAAAAACATCGATTAACATCCAATGTTCTTATTAACATTTGTGTTACTGTAACATAGAACATCATTAGGTAAGGCGTAAAAGTAAGGTTAGTGTCGTAACCTGAAGAACCAGCGGCTTGGACTCGGTCAGCCCTGGAAGCGCCTTCATTAAAATCGCGGGACCGCGAGTACCCCTTTAACCTTTCCCCTTGGACACTCTCTTCGTTGCTCCTCCAGTACACTGTAGCTATTGTGGCGAGACACTAAAAGAAAAAAATCATTGTTATTGTCGCTTCAGTTTCTTCGTAGTAAGTATTCGTATATTGAAACGCAACACATACGTTGTATGCTTTTATCCATGTAAAAAATAATAGAATAGAATATTTTTTATTCAATATAGAATATAAATAATTCCTATTGAAGCTATTTTTTTTACTTTGATCATTGATACGGAAAAAATTCTGCCCTGGGAATAACCAGCAAGAAATCCACCGGGACTTCTTTTTCCACAGTAACATTATACAAAATAAAAAACGTTGTACAATTATTTAAAACACTCACATAAGAAACAGCTGGAAAGCGATCACTTCATTCCCAAGGGTTATTATCAACTATGTTATCATATATATATAATAACTCTTTTTATAAAGTCTTTAATAAAAAAATTACGTTGTAATAGAGAGACCTTGTATATTTTTTGGGACTTTATTCTTATAGCGTGTACATTGTCCCATTAATGAATTACTGACATGTGGAGTAAAATAGATGGAATTAAATTGATGGCTGGTAAAAAAATCTTAGAAATTACTGCCTTCTACCCCAAATGGATCGAAGATTAAGAAATATATAGCGTATATTGGACCTAAACTAAACACAATCAGTCGCAATAACAATTAAATTGGTTTAAGCAAACAGACTTACGCTTAGGCCCATGAATCCTAGATAGGCGATATTTAAGACTTTAATCGTAGAATTTGAGGGGCGATAAAATTTGCACAAAACAACTTACTATTAAAACTTACTTCTAAATTACCATCCAAAAATATTTCCCGGTAGAATTAATTAAAAAAAAACTGTAATTAAACAGTAAGAGTGCTACATTTGGCTGGTCCTAGGATGCCATTTAACTTGAATCTCTACTGTTAAATCGTTGACGCGTTAAACTAATTTTGTTAGTATATTTTGCGCTTAATCTATTTGTTATCATAGTTTGCACTGTTGCTGATTTACCTATGTGCTTCACACATTAGCACATTATTATATGTATTTCGTGTATTTGATAGATATTTGAATTTCATCAATCGATTAAAACTTTACTAACTATAAAATAAATATAATATATATAACATATAAGATAAAAGAGATATGACTAAAATAATATCTCAACTTACTTTGAGTTTGAGGTCTCCTTTTCTAAAGTGCTTGGGCTTCACTTTGAAGTCGAGCGCCAAACTCGTAGTTTCTAGGCCATCTCCGTCCTTGTAGATGACCGGCTGTAGTACTGTAGCTGATGGAGCCGGTTCACCGTTGATATACCAAGCCAATCGCGTTGCTGGTCTTGACCGTCCCGAAGTGCAGTTCACTTGAACTCTGTCACCAATCTGATACCGCATTCGAGAACCAGTGATGGTGGGGCCGTGATCGGGTAATGCTAAAATAATGTAATCTTATGAAAATTTGTATTGTTCATTTTGTAAGTTGTTATATAGTTGCATTGGGAGTCTCATAGCAGAAATCATGTGTTTAAATTCCTAAAAATAATTGCACCTTAAAATACGATTACTAAGGCAATAAGTAATTAATTTAATACAAATATTTTTTATTACTCGGTAGAATCAAATCATCATTCATCTGTAAATAGCTGCCAATGCTCTATGTATAAATATACCTCCTCCTAAGTTGAAGAGGATTAACTATAATAGCACCAGATATTACGAACATCTGAAGCTGCTTGCCATCATCTGTTTATGTATACTACATACACGTGGTAGAACCACACCACAGCTTTTTGGTTGTAGCATGAAGGAGTTGGCTCAACCATTCTTCCACAGAATACTAACGTAAAATACCTGTCAATGCTCATATGGTGTTTCATATGGTAAGTGTAAAAAGCCGGAGACCTTTTTTTACTGGAAACAAAGCATTCCAATGTAGTCCTAAGGAGTCCTCAGATTCTTTAAAGTTAGACGTAGATTTCAATGGAATAAAGCATCCAGTTATCCAACAGGTTGATTGTGTACTCTTTTGTCATCCTTATTCCTATGGAAGCTACAATATCTATTTTCTGTTCCTTTTATTAAATTTTATTTATGCTGTACGAAACTAGTGGTAAAAGGTTCTCCTATTTCACCAATACACGACAAACTTATGTCAAAATTTACGTCGGGATCAAATTCAGTCCGAAGATAAGCTATGTTTAAGCAAGTGAATCTCTTTGAATGAGGCGATGTGGCCTTGTGAGATTTAACGCCTACAAAACACAAGCGTATCTCTGCACTACTAAAATTCGTCGTTGACCCCGCAAAGGGACGAACCTCAATTTTTCGAAAAAAAAAAAAACATTTATTATACCTCGATTACTAGCTATTTTTCATCATAAAATTAATCTTATTTGTAGTTTTTCTTTAAGTGTAATTTATTTAATTTTCTGATGAAAAAAGATAGTGATCGGGGAGTAAGAAATGTTTTCTTGCACTCCTATAATTTTTGGTAAAATTGAGGTTCGCCTCTTTGCGGCGTCAACGACGCATTGATGTATTATTGGAATACATCTACCGCGTTCTGTTGTTGGGGGTTGATATTTCCTCAAACCCGACCTTTTGGCAGTTCATTACAACTAAAGACAAATAAAAAAAACACAGTCGAATTGAGAACCTCCCCCTTTTTTGAAGACGGTTGAAAATAAACCTACATTGTATTTTGTGCCGGGACTACTTACTAACTTATTTATTTATTTTCATTAATTTATTTTCATAAATTACGTTAAACTCGTAATATGTTCTTTAACGTGAAGGCGCTACATTCAAACCTGCGACAATTATCGTAGACCATACAAATAGTTGTTCCATGCGGGATTTTAGACCAAAGATTTAGATAGGTACTAAACATATGTGAAAGTTTTCGCTCAAGTTGATAAAAGAAAAAAATACGAGTAACTGTTTTATTTATTAACTATAACCCAAAAATGTTTATTACACATCAGCTAGATAGTTTGCTAATGAAGGAAAGTAAAAGGATAATAACTTGAAATTTATGGTAACGTTATAATTAAAAGGGTTCTGTTTACGACTGGATTGTATATTTACTGCTATATAACTTGACCCTAAGATTTAATTAGGTTTATTAATACGCAGTACCTACGTAAAATACACAATGCGCTGTCATCAACACTTTAATAGTTATTTTAATGGCTTCTTAATCATTTCGATTGCAAAATACAACTGAGGATCAAATATTAATTTGATAACTGCGTAGTTCAGCAGCTACAGAATACAATTTTGTTGTGAAACTACATATTTGAATGGAGATTCAATTATAGATAGTCATCGATGTTGTTCTATTATAATTTAACTTTCAATTATATTCTAAAAATTTTTAGGATCAAGTACGGCAAAAGTATCAGGCTAGTTTTATTAAGAATTGTTATTAAGATATCTTTGACGTCACAATATTCATTATCAGGTTCTAACCATTCCCCGTTGTAAGGAATAGTTGTAAATTGTTTTCATAGGCAGACAAGTTGGTGATCTCTCTTTTTTCCTTTGTCAGGTTAGAGAAGGTTTACCATTTTGCTTAAATTATCACGCAATTTATTACATAGTGTCGTACAGAATATCAGCGTAAAATAACAGCAACATGGTTCGTTCGTAAGGTGAGTGTATAGAACCGGAGACATTTTTGACAGGTAATGAGGCATTCCAATATTAGCAACCAGGGGTGACAAACTGTCTGCGTTTTGATATTGAATCGAAGATACGTATAGATATCGGTATTTATGGACCACAGCGTTCCTCGAGGATTACAACGCATTCGCATTTTTGGTACTTCATCGAGGCAGGATGTGCGTGTCTATGGATCGCAGCATTCGCTTACTATCCAATTGATTATGTGCTTTTTGGTACCCTTACTTAGGTACAAAATGTTCGAGATGAGATTGTTCCAGAATTTAAAACATGGTAGCTACGGTACAGTACTCGGGAATGTGATTGATTTTTTCGCTTTGCAACCATATTAGTAGTATATTTTTATCTTGAGCTTTACAAAGGTTACAAAGTTATGCCATACGGTCCTACAAATATAAAATATGCATATAATACACATCTCAACTAGAGGTTGTAGTAAAAGGGGTTTTATGTCGCAACTTTATTACCATACTTTATACGGCTTGCCTTAGAGTTATCAATAAGATTAAAGGTTGAATCACATTTCTTGAAAGCAACCAGTATGTTTTCTAAAAACACATTTATACGTTGATGAGTCGTAGTTTTCGATTATATTCTTCGACTTGTCGACGATATTACACTAAAGGACGTTAGCACAATGCCCAAAGACCTAACTAGTGTCTCTCAACTGGAAGAATCCTAAGATAAACATGGACAATTCAAAAGTAATGTCTATCCTGTAATGTCTATTTCATACCTTGCCGGTGGTCATTGAGATCATTACGCTCGATGATGTTAAGGAGTATGTTTACGTAAGGTAAAAGTCTGCTGTGATGATATTGCGACAGTAACCTAGGGTAACACTCTTAATCTCATGGCTGTTTGACGGGAGACGAAGCTACATTCTTCAACAGACTTGACAGCATACAGGCATCTCTCACAGATCTCCAAATGCATGCGGCGGGACTTACGCAACTTCAATACAGCTCGTATTGAAGAAGCGATCGAGCGGAACCAAGGCTCCAAAGTCTTTGCCAGAGATCTGTCTGCCAGAAAGAGCCAACTGTCAAAGCTGAAGACAGAATGTGGCAGCATCGTTTCCGGGACACCTGAGATTTTGAGTGAGATTGAGAGATTCTATGGGCAGCTGTACACGTCATCGTTGGAGCCACACGCAAGTGTGAGTAACGATCCAAGAGCGAGTCTCATCCAACACTATTCCGAAGATATCCCGGACGTCAGTCTGAGCGAGATTAGAATGGCTCTCCAGCACCTTAAAAACGGTAAGGCCCCAGGTGAGGACGGAATTACAGCGAAGCTTCTGAAAGCGGGTGGAAGACCGGTACTTGAAGTCCTTCAGAAGCTCTTTAATTCCGTTCTCCATGGTGGCATTACACCGGAGGCGTGGAGCAGAAGTGCGGTGGTCTTGTTCTTCAAGAAAGGTGACAACGCTCTCTTGAAGAACTACAGACCGATTTCCCTTCTGAGCCGCGTCTACGTGCTGTTTTCGAGAGTCATTACGAATCGTCTCGGGCGCAGACTTGACGACTTCCAGCCTCCCGAACAAGCCGGTTTCCGAAAGGGCTTTAGCACCATAGACCACATACATACCCTTCGGCAAATTATACAGAAGTCCGAAGAGTACAATTTGCCACTATGTCTGGCGTATGTGGACTATGAGAAAGCCTTTGATTCCGTCGAAATTTGGGCAGTGCTGCAGTCCCTTCAGCGGTGCCAAGTTGACTGTCGGTATATCGAAGTGTTGAAGTGTTTATACAGTAGAGCTACGATGGCTATCCGAGTACAGAACCAGAGTACGAAACCAATCCAATTGCAGAGAGGTGTAAGACAGGGTGACGTCATATCCCCGAAACTCTTCACCGCTGCATTGGAAGACGTTTTCAAGCTTCTGGACTGGAATGGATACGGTATCAACATCAATGGCGAGTACATCACTCACCTTCGATTTGCCGACGATATAGTCCTTATGGCAGAATCGCTGGAGGACCTAAGCACTATGCTCAATGACCTCAATAGTGTCTCCCAACGGATAGGTCTTAAGATGAACATGGACAAAACAAAGATTATGTATAATGTCCATGTCACACTTATGCCGGTAGTTGTTGGGAGCACTAAGCTCGAAGTTGTTGACGAGTATGTTTACCTGGGACAAATAGTCCGACTAGTTAAGTCCAACTTCGACCGAGAGGTCAATCGACGGATTCAACTCGGCTGGGCAGCGTTCGGGAAGCTACGACACATTTTCTCGTCAGACATACCTCAAAACCTTAAAACGAAATTGTACAACCAGTGCGTGTTGCCAGTGATGACTTACGGAACTGAGACGTGGTCCTTCACAGCTGGCCGTATGAGGAAGCTCAAGGTCGCTCAGCGAGCTATGGAGAGGGCTATGCTCGGAGTTTCTCTGCGTGATAAACTTAGAAATGAGGATATCCGCAGTAGAACTAGAGTAACCGACATAGCCCAACGAATTAGTAAGCTGAAGTGGCAGTGAGCCGGCCATATAGCTCGAAGAACCGACAACCGATGGGGAAGAAAGGTTCTTGAGTGGCAGCCTCGTACCGGTAGGCGAAGTGTAGGGCGACCCCCCACGAGATGGAGTGACGACCTGGTAAGGCATGCAGGAAGTCGATGGATGCAGGTGGCTCAGGACCGTGCTTTGTGGCATTCCTTGGGGGAGGCCTATGTTCAGTAGTGGACTTATGAAAGGCTGTAATGATAATGATGAACCTAGGGTAATCAGTCCGACTAGGTAAGTGCGACTTAGACAAAGAGGTCCATCGACGAAACCACTCACCTGGGTAGCGTTCAGGAGATTACGACATATTTTTTAGTCAGGTATACGTATATATAACTATACTTAAAACTTGAAAAAATGAATTCACAACCAGTGTGTGTTGCCATAGTATGGATCTGAGACGTGACTCAACGGATCAGCAAGCTGCAGTGGCAATGGGACGGCCCGAAGAACCGACAATTGATGGTGACGAAGGGTTCTCGAAAGGCAGCCTCGTACTAATTACCCTTTTTACTAAAAACGAGGCATTCCATCTTAGTCCTCACGGGTGAGGATGTATTATCTGCATTTTGATTCGTAATCGAAGATAGATGGAGGTATCTATGGGCCACAGCAATCACTTACCATCAGGTTGACTGTATGCCCGTTTGTCACCCTTATCCTAAAAAAACGAGATATGTAATGAATATTGTGGCAGTCCTTGGAGGAGTCCAATGTTCAACAGTGGCCTTGTAAAGGGCTGTAATAATGATGAATGATGAGTAGTCTACTACTGGATCTAACATAGTTCGATCCCATCGTAGTAACGTCGTAACCGTTATACGAACGGTTTATGGCTCGCTGTACCCGTGACCTTTTCCGCTTTTTCCCGTAACTGGTCTGGATATTGTACATACTTATGTACAAGTGGAGACTAATATACATCTATATTAGTCTCCCAATTTAACAACACACCTGTTGTTTCCTTTTTTAGTTTCGTAGAAGTAATCCAATTGCTGTAGTAGTATATCGACCTACGATTAAATAGACTATTAGCCCCATTTTTCAAGAGATAATGATGAGATAATGATAAAAAAAAAAACAAAATGCACGATTGAACGAAGAATAAATATTCGGATTTTTAATAGGCAGTTGATTGTCAAAATATATTTAATATACCAATAAAGTTATCAAAAATATTCATATATGTGTATCTAATTAATTATAGCAAAAGCGAATATGATATTGCGATATTTACCTACTATAATCATGTCTGAGTGATCGGAAACAGTCGGGAAGAGAGGCCTCTCACCGGACACTTCACATCTATACCGTCCACCTGTCTCCAATACCGCCGGGTACAGTGTTATATTGGACCCGTTCGGACTCGATTGCTGCAAAAAATGTCCTTATATATATACATAAATATATGACAAATAAAATAATAACAAGTATAGCTATGAATTAAGTTGTTAACATTTTAACGAATTGTCTTATGGAAACGGATTTCACAATATGATGATGCGGTAATATTGTTATATTCTTTTAGGTCGTAATAGGCTGACTATAGGCGACATAAAACGATTGGCCAATATTCCATTTACAGTGCGTGAAGAAAATATTATGGCAGAGATGAAATTTATCTATTATTCTGTAAATATAGAAAAATTAAATAAATTAGTCTAAACGTTCATTTAGCGTGTAGTGGCGGTGTCGTAAAAGGCGACAGAGGAAAATTGAAGTGGATCATGGGCAGTAGCTTCTTGTTAATAACGATTCAAAATAATAAAAAAACTGCGGTTGCCAACCCACCTGTCAAGCGTGGCAACTATGGCAAAATCTTCCCTACGAGGCAATCTACGGAGGAGGCCTTTGTTCTGCAATGGACTTTTATAGGCTGTAATGGATGGATAATGGATGAAGCGTTAATTTCAGGGAATTATTATCATTAAACTTTGAAAGTTGAAAGTTGGGTGTGGCAGAAGAAGCATGAGAGTAGAATAAATGCTGTAGAAATGCGGTCATTAAGGAGTATGTTAGGGATGAAGCTGAATGACAGAGTGAGAAATTGTTTAATAAGAGAAGAGTGTGGTTTGCAAGATGATGTTGTGACCAGGATTAAGAAAGGAATGCTTCGGTGGTTTGGCCATGTAGAAAGAATGAATGAGGAAAGAGTGACAAAGCAAATTTATGTTGCAGAGGTGAACGGCATAGTCGGGAAGGGTCGCCCTAGGCGAAAGTTTATCGACCAAATTGGCGATATATTAAAAATGGGCCAAATCAAGAGTACCTTTAACCGACGAGCGTGTATGCGTAGGTATATGGATGTGGAGGAAGCGAGAGAGGTGTGTCAGGATCGTGCCAAATGGAAGTCCATAATCTCTGCCTACCCCTCTGGGTGACAGGCGTGAGTGTTTATGTATTATGTATATGTATATGTAAACTTTATACTGTCAAATACAGTTTTTATATCAGTGTACTAGACGAAAGAGCTTGCGGCATATTTTTTGGATAGGGATCACTGTGACCTATAGTCAACTGTAGCCAACCATAAGCACATCATGCTACATCATGTGACACATGAACTAAGAATACCTCGTGTTCATCAATGAGGAAATTGGAAAACATATGAAGGAGAAGAGGAGGTAATATTAATACTTGCTTTTAAAATTGCTTAGGATATTGATAGTACAACAGCATCGATTGTGCTAGACTATCGATATTCTATCCGACAAGCGGTTATCGATCGACAGCTCCAACTGCCTTTCATTACATTTACTAAATCATATTAAACAAATCGTCACTTTTATCTTAATTAGTCAGTAAAACTAACACATTATTTATTTTATTGGTGTGGTATGTATGTGTATATATTAGTTTGTATATATGTGTGTATAAGAAGTGTCGATATGTATAAAGTAACATATATTATATTATATTATTGAATAATATGTGAAAATAAGTTTTCTTTTTCTCTGTTGCGGCTCTACCATAGCTCTCACCATACTACCAAAGGTTAGCTGGCAGAGAATACCTTTTTGGCATTAAGTTCGCCTTTGTACCAAATGTTTGTTTGTTTGAGTGCAATAAAGAATTTTCTATCAATCTATCTAAAACAAAATGATAGTCGCCATAATATTCTATTGAAACTTTAACATTTTTTTAAATGTTGTGAGTTCATAATACAAATCACAGTACTGTCGGGAAAACTTTCAAAAACAATATGGCGCTACTCTGAATAGTTTTCCACTTAAAACAACAATACGTAGAGTAATAAAGTTGCTTTATGTGTACGGGGCTTTGCGTATTTATGTTAAAACGGCAGCCAATTGAAGGAAGCAGAAACAGTTTCCACCCGAGTATGGGTATGTGTACACGTACCTTTTCAAGTTGCAATATCCGTTCTAGTTTTCTACTAGTTTTCATTATGATCTGGGCTATGTGAGGCCTCAGCGATTTAATTCAATCAGAAAAAATATAGACACATTTAAAATATCTTACAGCAAATGTTTGCAGCAATAACAATGTTGGAGTTTACTACGAGTCTAGCTTACCAAGAGTTGATTACCGGAGAATCGCTAACAGCGTCAGAGTAATAAAGGCGAAAGGAGTCAAGTTTCCGAAAATACCGGTATAAGGAACTGTTATTCAACTGTTTTCTGATCCTAGAACCAGAACAGAAACCAAAATCTAAATTTGAGCCGTATGCACTTTTATTTCACCATTATACGATCGAAGCTAGTTTTCCTTTCATTAATATTCTGGAGTGGCTGACACAAAATAATATTTTTCTGTAAAAACATCTCGCAGTTATATACCTCTTTGTCTTCTGTCTTGAAGTAATAACATAAAGATAAAGCTACGCTACAATAACTTGAAGGTTTCTCCATTGACCTGGAACCTGAAATTACCACCAAACATTTTTACCAATTTTGGTATTTTGGAACCGGTATCTTAAAACCTATACCATAATCGGAACAAGAAGCAGAACCGTAAATTGGAACATTATTACAACCTAAATGAAGAACCATAACGAAATTCAAAACCGGCTTTTAATTCTTGATAAAAAGCATTAACTCTCTGGACTAATTAAACAGTAGTTGTTGTCATGTCTTGGTTCGTAGGTAGCAAAGGATGTATAGATTATGCAGTGGCTATACTTATCCTAACAAGGACTGCAAACTCGTTTATCACTCTAATGTTATAAAAACATATTTATTACGTACGCCTTGACATATGGCGGCGCATGATAATACATCACCTTATTTCGTCTCACGGGTGTCGTAAGATGAGTCTAAGAGATTAAATAAAACAGGGGATAGATGACAATATTATTTTGTATAAATCTAAATTATAACGGTTGGTTGGTGGCATATGAAAGTCTATCACCACATTTGATTGCGTGGGTGTCGGAAGAGATGACTACGGGAAATGAAAAATCTTAAGGCTTCAGATAGAGCGTGGTATAACAATAACGTAAACGAATACATCAATCCATTACGTCCCGTGAGTGTAGTAGTAGGCGACTGCGGGAAATCCAGGAAATCTACTGGCTTTTGAAAGTTAACCACATCGGTTACGTCAGAAACAGACAAAATACCAAGATGAGAAAATCAGATGCATCACAATATAACCACATTTGGAGTTTGCATAATTTCATAACTTAATTTTAAAAAATAAATAAAAAAAACAATTCACCACCCCCTATTGTTAGAGGCGACAGAAGGAAATAAGGAAGAACTCCCCAAGGAGCTTGAGACCGTCCACATTTTAGAGGACAAAATCTCCCGGTCCGGGAAATGCACTAAATGCACCACCAGACCGACAAAAAACGTTTCCCAGACTTGTGCTTAGTCATTCCGAACCTGTCTCCGGAAGTCAAGGAGATTTTCCATTTTCGGCTCATCTGCAACTTAACGTGGATTGCAATTGAAGCCCCCCGAAACAGTGACATCGTTGGCCAGTGAAACCGACGCCAACTTTACGGGCATATGGCTAGAAACTGTTATGCCAGGACTAGATGCGTCAAGTGCCTGGGTGACCACGGCACTACTCACTGCTTCTGTATGCCCGATACGGTTGAACCTCCGAGCTGCGTTAATTGCCGCGAAGAGAGACACCCAGTGATCTATCGCGAGTGTTCCAAAGCGCCGCAAAGGAAGCAGCGTGGAGGTAAAAGCCGTCCCGGGTGCGCGGGCCAAGTCAGTGTGTCTCGCTCTCGATTGCTTGCCCCCAATCCTGCATCACCTTCGGTGCCCACACCCTCGCCTCAAATCGCCACCTATCCCGTCTCTGTTGCCGAGGTCTCCGTATATGCTAGCCTTCCCGCGCCTTCTGCGCCGTGACCCAATGCTTGGGTAAAGCTTCCGGCACTTGTTGCCTCACGGACAATCCCGCCTCCCCAGTACCGAAAACCAAATCCGGTCCCACAAGGCTCGTCTTCCTTCGCCGCTGACTTCTCTCTAGTCTGCAGCTTTATCAGTAACGTTAACATTGCTGAATTATTTTCTTTGGCCCGCAAACTCCGCGGAGCCACCACCCCTCAGGACAAGCTGAACGCCACGATTGAGCATCTAATTGACTCAATCTGGTATTTCCAGTGCGACTAACCACCTCATTTAAGTATCAGAATGGCAGTACAACCGTTAGGTATAACAAAACCACGCTCTCTGACTGTCGCGTTCTTTACCTCAATTTTTGATGTCCGAACGATATGAGTTAGCCGTCGGAGCCGGGGTCCAGCACCCCTTGTTTGGACGGCCGTTAGATAACTCATCTACGTGTACTGTACACTGTGCTAGGAGTCATCGTTACGCAAGTTACGATGCAGTGTAATATAAATACGTCCTTTTTAGGCCTTTTAGGCCGCGAGCCCTCAGACTGGTAGAGCTGTAGAAGCCAAAAAGGTTAACAGCATTAACAGCATTAACATCATCAGAAACCAGGAGATGGGCAGTAACGTCTTCCTAATAGCAACACGCGGCAACTATGTCAAAAAAAATCCCCTTTATGGAGCAATCTATAATTCTTTAGCAGTGGACTTTGACAGACTGTAGCGAATGAATGAAAAAAAATATTATATTTTTATACATCGGCTGCCATGCGAACTTTCCAGCACATTTCATAGCCGTATTTTGTACTCATAGGATAAATGATAATGATGATGATGAAGTTTTACACACACAGGCTAAACGATAATGATGATAATGATGATGCGGTGTGCGATTCCCTTATGCCGCTATCACACGATAGCTTTTTCATTGAGAACGCCGATATTTTCTGTGTAATCAGAAACTAAGACTATGTGAGTCTAAGTTTCTGATTATATATATTAAGATACTAAATTAAAAAAAATATTTCCTTATAATATAAGTGTCAATAATATAAGAACATAATAATAATTTTCCTTTGGTTATTCTATAGGGTGCATTTCGGTGAGTGTGCGCATGAATTACATGCTTTAATTCCTCCCTCTCCTTTCCACCATCGGACAACCACGCGATCAGCGGATCTTCACGCCTTTACCGATATTTCAATCATTAGAACCAAACTGTTAGCTTCGTCTTTTGTGATGCGTACGGTAAAGGAGTGCAATAATTTGCCGGCGTCTGTCTTTCCGTCCGAATACAATCTAGGCGTGTTCAAGGCATCTTCAAGAAATTAAACAAATGAAATGAAAGTTTGAAATGAAAGTTTCATTTCATTTCAAACGCCCAAACTGCAAATTTGGTACAGATAAGTTCTCTACGGAAATATCCCGTAGAGAACTTACCGAGCTGTCGTCAATTTGTGGTTTTAATCAAAATTATTTTGAAGATTTATTTCTCTATTCAATTATTATTAATAGTGTTGTGCGCCACTATTAATATCTTGTACATTGCAACACTAGTTACCACTAGCGCCCTCTAGTATCGAGTAGCAGAACTAGGGAGTCAAGATCCTTCTAGAAATATCGGGACCGATATGTACTCGAACATTCTAGATGTTTCTATAGTAGAAGGTTCTGGAAACTACCTGAAGCCCTATATAAGGCCAGTATAGACCGCAACCGGGTCAGTATTGAATTGGCGATACAAGCAAATACTTCGGAGCGAAATAACTGCGAACTAAAGTGATCAGTAGTACAATTGCGTTTTATTATTAGTGTGGTTTTAAATTGTAATTAGTGTTTCGTAATTAACGTGCCAATTTTGGTAATTCAATCGGCAGTTTTTAATTGTCTGGAACCCCAAGCTCGTAACAATTGCATAAATATAATTAAATTAATCAATCAAAGTCAAATCTAAAATCAAATATTATAAAAAGCACTTTTTGAAAGTTAAATGCTATCCCAACAAGTTCCTATTGCGGGAGAACTTATGACAAGCAAGAAACTCACAAGTAGACTATTTTTCTCCCAACAGTTACAATTTAACTTCATAAAATATATAAAGTAAAAAAAAAGTGTGAGCAAGCTCATTACGTCCATACATTTATCTTCTATATAGTCATCAAATTTATAACCCTTTCATAAGAATGCTTTTTATATGCGCATTCTATTAATGCAAAGGCAAGTAGCCATATTACAGGGAATTTTCTCAATTTTGAGTAGATGTACATATAATTGTTATTAATATTTATACATCTACTCAAAAATGAGCGCCTAGTTTAAATTTATTAAAAGTCCAGTATTTTTTTAAATTAAATACGGTATAAATTTATTATATACCTACTGTAATTCATTTGAATTTTAAATTTAAAAGAAATTTCTCGTGGTATGTCGTTCTTTAGCGAGGTTTATTTTAAAAGAAAAAGTTTTCATGAAACCCTACGTTATCGGCGCTCGTTAGACATAGGGTTACATGTAGATATATTTTAGTGTCACTCACCCGCCACAACACGCACGCAATTTCGGTGAGTCAACTTCATTATGTGTAATAGATTACAATCGCGACATCCATTGCGGAAAATAAGCGACTCTATAAACCATATCTCGTCCGGGTTCGCAGTTGAAGCTTTGTGTTATTATTTAATACAGTGCTACGCGACTGGTTAAATTTGTTTTTACCTCGACATCCACTCCGGGTAAGAGAAATTTTCTGCGAGGTTCGACGTCGCGGGGAACGTGGCGAAAGAATTCCTTCCCGTCCTTGTACCACTTGACAGAGTAAAGGACGTCTGTGGGTCCCAACTTCCAACGACAGGAAAGGGAGGCGCGCGTGCCTAAGGGCACGTGAGCGGGCACCCGTAGCTCCAGCAACTCCAGTCCCGTCACTATATACCCTGTAACAATCAAACAATAACAAGCTTATTCAATGCGGAAATACAAAATTCGCGTCGCCATAAAACTCGGCCTTGATAAAGGTCTCTGCCGTTACTAGTTACATTTATTCACACTTTGAATACGTGAATTTCATTTACACGTGTGTAGTATGTTATGAAGGCAAAAATCCATTAAACGCCATGTCAAATAATTTCCCATGTGACGCTCGCTCGTGGCCCGTAAAAGAGGCACTATTGCCCTCGCCCATCGGTGAAAAATATTACTTTACGACCCGTGCCCGTGGGGCGGCACGGTAAAGTAAATTGATAAATAAAGACAACAAGCACACAACCTTTTTAGCTGACTCCAAACAAATAGGAGTTTCGTATTGGGTCGACTGAATGTTATTTTCATACATATGAAAACGTAACGCGATATTTTTGACAATTTTTAATGAATAGTTAATTATTATTTTAATATTCTTTAATTAAATGGTTTTACAGGGCCGTGGTAAAACCATTTAATTACAGTTTTACAATGGCGCTCGCTTCTCCTTTCTTCGCGGGTACTGAACCCGGGTTCAATGAAATTATTCATTGTAATTTGAAGTGCTGATTTACCACGTACTCGTCCTGAAGGAAACCATCGTGGGGAAACCTGCATATCTGAGAAATAAAAAAAAGGTATTCCGAAAACATGTGAAGATCGCCAAAATGCATTGGGGCAGCGCGGCGGACATTTCCTTGTCCTAAAAACCAGAAATGAGAGGAGGCCTGTGTCCAGCAGTGGGACGTATTTAGGCTGTAAAAGTAACTTTAATAGGTTTTACCTCCAGTGACATAATCATCATCATCATTAGTTGCCAATGTGAGTAAGCGACACAAAATACTAGACAAGGGAACAATGACTTTCAATATACAGGAATATTGTAATAAATTAAATTAATAAGCAAGGCATGCGGCGGTTTAATGCGCAAACGCAGGACTCATCTGGGAAACTATGAAATTACTCACAGCTAAACAACTCCTTCTATTCATTGAGGACGTAGGGCTTAGCAGTGAACTGTAGACATAGCAGCGATCATAATAGATTCTTTTTACGTGGTAGAGCCATGCTGCGGCTATATTAGTAGTATAGTTGTAGCACGAATGGGTCGGCTCGACTGGGGAAGGGCCACGCTCTCACAGAATACCAGCGTAAAATGGCAGCTTGACACTGTTGTGTTTCGTAAGGTAGATGTAGAGAAGCGGAGAGCCATTTTACTGGAAAAGAGGCATTCTATCTTAGTCCGCACGGGTGACAACGCATCTGCATCTTGAGTCTTTATTGAGGATCGATGTAGATGTCTATGGGTCATAGTAACCATTTACCATCAGGTAGACTGTGTGCTCGTTTGTCACCCTATCCTATAAAAAAATAGATATTTTAGGTAGCAGTGATACTGGTCTCTCTAGACCTGCATAGCTGCTCGTACATAAAAAAGGCATGCGGGTTGAGGACTGCAGTATTTTATTATTTTGAGTTGTTATCAGGATAATGGTGCTGTCCATCTCATGTTTCAGTCTCCTCTGACTCCTCTTACGACACCCACGGAACTGATATGGGTTAGTGGATTATTTTAAGACGCCATCATTATCATCATAGTCACTACTGATTATCAGATAATTTAAAATTAAAAATTTTGTATAGCCGACTTCAATATAAGTTATTAAGAATAACTCAAATAACTCAAAAACTATTGGTCTGAGCTTGATCAAATTCATAGAGTAAGTATCAGCTTTCATATAAAAAAAGAATCATCGAAATCTACCCAGTAAAAAGTTATGAGGTAACAAACATAAAAAAGAACATACTTATGTTGTATGTATGTTACGGCTGATAGCCGAAGTGCGGTTACACTAGTAAAGGATCCGGCTTACTAAAATACCCCCTCCTTCTTTTCCTTGATGAAATAGTTTTTTTTGTAATAAAATATACAAATAAATACAAATCAGGGTGATTGACAGTCTACGTTTTGGCAAGGCTATTTTTAATTAAAAATAATTTAATTTTTTTTTTACCGGTTACGGTCATTCTTTTCATTGATAAATATATAAGTTTACCTATTTATATTTGGTTGGCAGGTATTGTTGCACGGAT